CAAACCGGCAGCAACTCGGATACGGGTAATAAAATAGATTTTATAATTAATAACATTACAAACCAGTGTTGTGTGTGTACCACGAAAAACCAATAATAGCCGATAGGTACCAATAAGAATGTGTAATTTATGATTATTTATTTATTTTTTTTTTAATAAAATTTAATAATCAATTAAAAATTGGACTACCTATAATTTGTAAATTTCTTTCAATCTCTAGCTACGTCATATATTCTTATGTAAGTCATTATTTAACACCACTTGCCTTATATAAATAACAAGATTTTATTTGCAGAACTTAAAACATACTACAACAGTAATGCCATTTCGGATGAGAGATTACTACATTTGTACTTGGAATTCGTTAAATACTATTACAATACGGAATACGAATTGATCAGGAGATACAACGAGCGCGAGGTCTTAGCATGGAACAACCTAGAGTACATGGAGTTCTTACTACCCTCTGGCGTTTTAGAAAAGAGTGTCCAAACTGGCGCAAATGACCTGAATTCTGATAGTTTGGCGGATTTAAGCAGCTTAGATTCATTATAATATAAAACAAACGTTCATTATCTATAAGTATAAAAATATATTGATAATTTAAAACTGTCGATTTTCTCATTTTTTTTGTTTTATCAAAAACATTACTATTTTTAATTTGTCAACTATGGGCGCTTGTTGAACGGAGGTAAAATATTTGTACATAGACGGCGTCGTATAATATAAATATTTACATTAAGTATCTATTATATTCTTAATGACTTTATAACAGTAGAAACAAATATATTATATTTAACCGTAGTAATATTGTCAATTCATAATGAATGTCTATTCAGATTTTATTTCAATGACAAACAGCGCTTTATACAGCAAGTACATATGTAGGTAATATAATAAGTTGACGGTATATTTTTTGTTTTGTTTATCAGCTCTTTTGTTCACCGCCACTAGGAAGGTAGGTACTATTTTAAATTGAATGTTAATACTATAGTTATTGTTATCGTACTAACACACAACATCCCATTATTATTTCGTTCCACTGCTACTCGCCAGACTACAACTATTAGGTATACTAGGTACACATTATTTCATATGTAATATAAGTATAATAATACTGTTACTATAAATATTTGGAAAAAATAGTTAAACCGCTAGACATGTAAATTAAAACAACATTTGTGTGAAAAATGGTACTGACTCGAAAAAGAATTAAAGTTTTCAAAAATGTAATCAAATTTAACATAGCCTATGGGAAATAAAAATTACAGACCACAAAGCTCATTAACTGGCAATGGTTACAGAAAGTGTGATCGTCGAATTAATTCTGTTCAATCCTTAATGTAACAGCTAAAAAGGTAAATTTTGCACTAGTTGACTTCCAGGCTCAGGTACATAACCGAATTGCATCCGAATTTCAGTTAAACATTTGATGATACTAGTAGCAACCCGCTAAAAACTAACCCTTAAACTATACAAATGTGTATATTATTACATATATTTTTTACTACCTGTAGACTTTTTAGAGTATTTAAAAAACAATATTAAAATGAATTATAAATGTATTTTTAATGATATTGGCTCTGAATGGTACCATTGACACAAAAAATATTTTTTTCATATTCAATAATACCCCTAAATTTGCAACAGCTTGTTTTTTGTTTCACCCCTCTACCTCAAAAATTAAAATTATGGTGCCCATTACAAATGTGGTCTTTCATTCTCCGTCACCCTGTACCGTGGCTGTACCTATAATCCAATATAAATATCCTCAATGTTTATTTTTAAAATAAATGGTTCATTATTTTCTTTTTACAACACATTATTTAAGGTCTAAAATTAAAACAAAATTTAATTAATAAATAGTAACAAAATAAAATGTACAATGTTTTTTATCCATTAGTACTCTTTACAAGTGTATCCAGACTTAAACCAAATATGACGCAGTTGTGCATATTTTAGCTTCGATGCAAAGCAGGAAGCTTAGGATTATTTAGTTGGTATGTGCGCACACGTCAGTTGTATAAAATTTAAATTATACCCATTTCCCATTCCCCTGGGGAGGGGGTGCAAGTTGTTTTGTTTTTTGGGTTTTTTAGCCGTAATGTTAAGATCTTTAAGTTGAAAATTTGTCAGTAGTTAGAACTCATATGTATGCATAACATATTAAATGGAAAAAAAATTCGGCACTACAGTTTTTCTTTAATTGCCGGAAAACTGTTTTTCGCAGATTTCGTATATTTGAACCTAAAATTTAAAAAAAAATTTATCAAATCATTACAACAATTCGATTTGATCTATGCAGAATTATACTACTAAGTTTTGATACTCAAGTACACCTTTAAGGTTTTAATTTAATTTTTTTTTTTTTTAAGTGATTTTATAACTTTTATTTATAAGACCTGTGACCTCTCCGTCCCTCTATGCTTTGATTCCATCATGCATATACTCTACTGTACTGGTCCTCTCGGATAAAATCACTTTCAAATAGACGTTTTGATTCTTATTTGTAAATACAGCACCTCAATTTAATACTTTCTAGCTTTGCTGGTTTACACTGTACTTGGTTTTGACTGTACTGGCTTGAAAATACTAACTACTGATTTACATCGAAACGTTTATTCGAAAGTGATTTTATCACTTTCAGATTTAAAAAATCCTGTAAACCTACGACGCGTCCCCACTATACCCCGACCCCCGAAATTAATAAATAATAACTAAATAAAATGTACATTGTTTTTTATGCCCTTTACAAAGTGTATCCAGACCTAAACCAGGTTTTTTTTTACATTAATGTTTTTAACAGGGTTAATATTTGTTGTGAGATTACGCATGGCCTGCGAGTAAACGACGCGACGGTATAACATTATATTTTTATATATTTTTTTACTAACCTATACCGCAAGTCATTATGTTTTATTACAACAGTAGTTGTTATTAATGTGTAATTAGTTGTACAATAATAATAACACAACCTGTGGTGGCTGAACAATTCATGCGAAATCTATAAAGAATTAATAAAGATAAAGAATCTCGATGATTTATAAATGTAATATCATACGGCGGCGGCCGTATAAACTATATGTTATGACTAGGGCGATAATAATTTTCCGGCTAGGTTGTATCGTGGTGTGCGCTATATTGTGAACCGCGCATATAAAAACAGGTTTTCGTAGTATATATAAATATAATATTAGATTATCGGCGGCGGCGGCCGTATAAACTATAATGTGCGTTAATTTCGTACCGCACGAATTCGGGCGGCAGCGTATATGACGGCGCGGCGTCGGCCGTTGTCTTCATTTTATCAGAAAATACGTTCGGGAAAACGGAGACTATTTAATTTTAATTATGATTGATTAATGTTTTATTAACGTAATAATATTATTAAATATTAAGTACTATTTTAATATAATATTATATTATATTAATATTGATTCTGTGCAAGAAATTTTAAAATTCAAATTTTCATTTCTTTTATTAGAAAAAAAAGTAGAAATAAAAAATGTGGGTAGTAGTGGTGAGACTATTCGAATAAAAAAAATTCGAGTATTCGAATACTTTATTCGCACGAATATTCGTTATTTCTAATAACGAATATTCGATGTGTTATTCGAATATTCGATCTGATTATTCGAATATTTTATCATTTTCTTTGCAGGATTAATTAGATTAAAAAAAATAATTAAGAGACATCTAAGGTGCCCTTGATCTATTTTTAATAATTTTTTAACAAAATTAATATAATTATAACGAATTATTCTTTTGACAAAATAAATATTATTACTTATTACAACAAATAAGATTTTAACAATTTATATAGATATATAAATACAAACAAACATAAATTTGACAAAATAAATATTACCTCTTAGATTAAGAAGTTCTTTTTAGTTTTTTCATGCGAAAATTCGAATATTCGAATTTTTTTATTACTATTCGAATTATTCGAATTATTCGATTACTATTCGAATATTCGAACTATTTTCATACGAATAGTATTATTTGATTATTCGAGTAATTCGAATAATAGAAAAATTCAATTCGAGGTCTCAGCTCTAGTGGGTAGACCTTTACCAAGTTTACCCAGTTTAACTAATATTTCATATAAAGGACCAAATAAATACATTCGTCATTTAAATACTGGGCTTTAGTTCAAATGACTTTGTATCGTTATTTTGTTTCCCTTTTTTTTTTTTTTTTTGGAGGTGAGATATCTTGGAGTAAGACTGGTGTAAAAAATAAATAAACATGAAAATTCGTTTAAACATCTACATAATGAGGCAAATTTTAAAGTGTTCGGAACTATTGACTTAAGAAGTCAAATTGTTAGTGAATTCAGGGATTAAACGTCATAATCACCAAGTTTCTAAAAATCAAGGTATTTTAAAAAGAAATGTTAAATTGTGTAAAATGTTGTGTAAATCACAAATTACCTTTATGTGGATACGATAAAAAAATTTCATAAAAAAATCACGGCATTTTTCGTGGTTTGATAACTTATGTTCAGATTTAGACCCAAGTTTACGGAACATTTTCAGAAGTCTATTGTTTTTAAAGTTACTCCATATTTATACGTTTTTTCCTCAGATAAATAGATCATATATCATTTTGGGTTATGGTTTTCTAATTTTTTATCGCACTTCTGTGTGAAATCACCACGATCCGCCACTGCTTTTTAATAAAATGACTAACTTTGAAGTAACTTTTACCCGTGGGCACGGGTAGAACAGACTGTAATTTACTTTCTAGGGACTTAAGTAAGGACTTGGGCCCAGACTTCTGTACGGCAGTGTCATTTTGATGTAATTATTCTAAACATTTTGTTATGAAGTTCAGACCCTCGGGGGCTGTGCTCGATTGGTTGCTGACAATTTGTTTATATCCTGAATGAGTTAAAAAGGATTGTAACTTCCCTAGCCCCGTTCCCCTCTAGTTGCGCCAATGGTGTACCTGCTCTATGCCTAGTTAAAATGTCAGCTGTTACGCTCTATTTTTACCTAAATATGATGTTTGACGATGCAATGAGGTGTTTACCGCCGTATTCTTTATAGCACCAATCAGCGTCTTCTGTATAATTATACGGAGACTTCTCAAATATATCTTTGATGCCGTTAGTGCACAAGGGCACCATCAATTCGGTGCAAACCTGCATACAATACAATATGTTTTATAGATTTAAAAAAAAAAAACAGTACAACGGAGTTGTACCACCGACCAAAGGCGTGTTTAGGATTATCTAAAAAAAGAGTATATAATAATAATAAAACTATACAATTATTAATAGTTAAATTTTGAGGTTCCGTTAGTGAACAGCCCCCTCTTCAGTCATTCATGTCGTATATAATGTACATATTATGTCTTCAAATTTACTTATTGTTTGAACTAACAGATTGTAAATATTAAAAAAATATATTACATACTTGGTAATTTTATGCTTTTCTACTAGGTTTATCCGTAACACGAACATCAAGGCATTGGGAAGAACCGGTATAGTTAAAAAACACATTCAAACCCTCGAAGACCGATGATAAAAGTGTATAACAGTCGCTATGAGAATTTGTTAATGGCTTACAAAATTCCTAAAAATTTACCAGAAACGTATTGAATGTAAAAAAATTTGTATTTATTTTTCAATATTATCGGTCAACAATTATGATGTTGGACTAACTTGACAAAAACTCGAGATATTACCTTAACAGGATTTCCTGGCAATGGCACCAAAAATTGAGCAGGATACGGATAATTCGCCATAGCCATATTTTCATATGCTCTTTTAGTCCATTTTTTTAGGTTTGAAACGTCGGTAGAATTTTTTAAAGGCCAACAAAGTTGCCATTGATTTGATAACCATTCTTTACCTTCATCTGAAAGTTACCTATTATATTATTACACTATTTGTGATCAAAATTACGAGGAAATATTATTGCAGTGCGATTGCATATAAAAAATATATATTGGTCATAACTCCACATATAAACTAACGTTTAGACGGACCCCCCCTCCGTCTTTTTTCAAAAAACCAATGCATGTCTGTTTCGATGAAAAAAAGTTGTTTTTATTATTTTGGCTATGGTCGTAAAAAGTAGTTTCTTCTGTAAAATAATCGCATCATTCTGAAAAAAAGTTTTTTTCTCGGAATATAATATAGTCACTAAAATTGAATTTATAATATAAAAAGTAGTTTTTGACATTTTCATGTCTTAGCTCTGGCACATAACCGAAAAAATAATTTTCGTGTTGCCCTAAATTTGAGCATTTTCCTAATATTTTTTTCAGAAAACTGAAAAAATTTTCCATAGAAACAGTCAGAAAACAAACAAAAAATGGTAAGAATACATAGAAAGGTCGAAAAAACGAAAAAATTAAAAAACGGAATACTTTTATACATAATTAATTATTTCAAATATTTTGAACACTGGTTGTTTTTTCCTACTCTTCTATGCATTTTTACCTCTTTCTTTTTCTTTTTGACCGTTTTTAATACGAAAAAAACAACTTTACAGATTATAAACTCATATTAATAATATTTTTTTTAGAAAACTGAAATTATTTTACATAAAAAACTAATTTTTAATACATTTTTTGACGGCCGAAGATGCTGCTATAAAAAATTGATTTACAAGAGTTACCAAGTAAGAGACATGCAGTGTATTTTTCAAAAAATTCGGAGGGAGGGGGGATTGTTCTAGAGCTTACGATTACACGGGTACCCGTGTAAATAAGAAATCCGGATCTAATCCTGGGTATTTTTAATTACCCATGTACCCGGGTATTTTAACTACCCGTGTACTCGGGTATTTTAATTACTCGGATACCCAGGTAGTTAAAATACCCGACTACTTGGTATTAAACCACCAGGTATTCGGGTATTAACTAAACTTTGTTCTAATAGTTGTACTAATGTTTAGAAATCTATTTTTTTCATTTAAATAATAAGCCTCAAAATCAACGACCGTCGTCTAAAATATGTTTACGGTATTACTGTTTTAACAACAAGTTTTAAATATATTATTTATATTAAATTTTAAATGTATACATAAATATCTAGTATTTTTAATTTTAATACTAATTATATATTTTGCTGTCGAGGTTTGTATTTCTGAGGAATGTAAATTAACTATTGATAACATATTGATCGGGTCCTAGTAGTATGCACATCGACATTCAAAATGAAAAACTGCCTTGTTTCCGCTTTACTAACTTCTTACTTTACAAGGAAAACAAAAATTTGTCGTATTAACTAGTTAGGTTGCATCCATAAAAAAATCGTTTTCCTATTTTGTTTTATATGGTGAATATTCTTTTTAATAATCTTTTGGTTAGTCCAACAAAATTAAAGTTACCTTAACTAAATGTTTATTTTATTACATTGTATTTGGACTTTAGTAGTTAACAAAATTTGTTTTCAGTAAATACTAGTTTATACTTTTTTACAATGCAAGATTTATATTGTATAATTTTTAAATATACTATTATACGAAAAATTCCCAACTTTGTCAATCTTTACTACTTACATGACTATTATAAGTAAATTATGGAAGTTTTGTTTGACATAAAAAGTATGGTATATCCGGGTAGTTCATTAATAAAAACATTTTATTAAGTACAATTATTTGTCAATTAATCAAACGTACATCTCGCCGAAATATAAATTTTTAAATAATTATATGTATTGAACACGCGCAGTGTGGTAGTAAAAACTATATTGATATTTTATCGAACTGATATAGTCCAGTATTTAGAGACTGTCGATTTTGTTTAAATATGAAGGGAGAAAAAGGAATGTTGACAACAGAAATAATATGTATAATTTAAGTGGCACTGGCACAAGTAATCAAGAGCACGATCGCGTGCCGCAGATGATTGAGTTTCAAATTTTTATTAAAATTTAGGTCAACACTCAATTGTTCCGGGTGTGTGTCCGCTCTGTATTGTCTTATGTTAAATTGGTAGCCGAATGTACCCGTTATAGTTTTAAATGCTTATTATTGATTCCAAATCCTAAACAAAATCATTATGTAGGGTGTTAACATCCTAAGAGTCCTATGTATCACGCATAATTTAATTATAATATTAATTGACAGGATCGATAATTTTAAAATACCTACATATTTAATAAAACTAGATATTTTCTGCAAATCTAGAGCTGAAAACGTAATATTTTTACAATAGTGTAGATTTTCCTATTTTTGTGTCTGGGTTTTTTTTAATTTGTGTTCTTAATTTTACTATAAAATAATGTATTTATTTATTTATTCGTATGTATTTATAAGCTTTAAATCACGATTGACCTAGGGAACATTGCAATGTATAATCATCGTGGGGCATCCTGCACAAAGTGCACTCATTAAGAATAAGACACCCATTTCCTTCGAAAATACTTGCAATTTTATAGTTTTTCTTTTTGAAAACATTGCAGTTTTTGTTATTTTACAATATTATAAAATTACTAAATATTTACATGTTTTAGTAGGTATTTTTTAAATTAAATGGGACTGTACATATTAGTTAGACTTTTTAAACTAAGAATAGTTTTCTGAACATTTTGACTCGTCGATAACCGGTTTTGGATAGTTACTTTTGATGTTACTAAAGTTAGAGCAATGCACGCAGATAAAAATAATATTACACTCTATCCTTCCTCCCGTCCTAAACTTTTAACTTTAAAAACCTTAAAATTAATTATCCAAAACTGGTTATCGACGATTCAAAATGTTCAGCAAATTATTCTTAGTTTAAAAAGTTAAATTAATATATACCTACGTTTCTATTTCAGTTTCAAAAGATAACAGCGCTGAAAAAAAATTAAAAACTATCAAAATTAGAATAATTTTCAATTTTGTACAATAACATAAACTTATGTATCTCCAAATAGAAAAACTACAAAATTGCAATTTTTTAAGAGCAAATGAGTGTCTTTTCTTATTGAATCACCCTGTATATATGCATTCGATGCATTGGTGTACATATCTTTGTAAATGGCAAAACTTGTCAGTACAATATGCAATAATATGCAAGTGTAGTTAATAATTTTATTACACAGGTTGTCATCTATAGACTATAATGGGTGCCATTTTGATCAGACCACTGATAGTAAGTTATTATTAGTAAATATTTAATAATCGCGTTAATCGGTACTCGACCGGTCTAGTCGGCAACGGAATACGACACGCTTCTAAAAACTTACGCCGAAAATGGATGTGAAAATATTCGTAAACCACGATGGCTTCGACGATTTCAGTTGACATTTATTTCATAATTTATAGTTGTACTAAATGATAATTATTAATAAACATTTTACAGCATACTAATAAAACATTAATGAACAACGAGTATACTCAATAGGTATAAACAATATTTTGTATTTAAATTTCAATTTGTAAATTCATTTGCTAAATACCCGTGTACATAATAGAACCCGGGTACCCGGATTTTTTATTACCCGGGTTTATAACATTACTCGGGTTTTTAATTTCTTAATACCCGGGTAACAAACACGGGTACCCGTGTATTTTTATTACCCGTTCAAAACCGTAACCTCTAGTTTGTTCATATTTGGTATTTTAACCATATTTGCCATACAACTGAATATATTCACCTGTTGCAGTGACGTCATCGATGGCTTTCCACGAAGATCGAATTGTTTGACCACACTCTTTGCTGGTTGTCATATAGACAGATGAGATTACTCTGTAGAATGCATTGCAAGGTGTCATTCCTTCAATGAGCCATATCGGAGCTGACGAAGCAATAGCCCTGGGGATAATTAAATGGCGCTTACACTTTTCCATTATAAATAAAGTACGCTTTAGTACATTGTTACTGAATACTTACCCTTCGGCGGAAGCGGGATACTTCATCCTTAACCAAGCGGCCAGTATACCCCCATACGATCCGCCGAAAACGATAACCGGATTGGAGCTTGTGGCCGCACAGTCCACCGTTTGAGTATCGTACTCGCCAAAATCAATCGAGGGTGGTTTGTCAAGTGGTTTTGGTTTTAAGTAATCAATCAAATCCACGTAGTCGGCAAGTGCTTGTCGCGACGTTAAGTAACCTATATGCTGCTTGTCGTCGAACGAAGCATTCCCATACGGCAAAGAGTCACCGTAGTACCTGTGCTCGGCGAATACCAGAAGCGCTTTAAACTCTTCAGCAATCTCCCACATGAAACCCTAAAAAAAAAACCAATTCATTACCAACTCAAATAGAATATTATATGTCAGTATTTGGCTTTTAACGATTGCGGTTGATCTCTTCGCAATACTTACTGAGCTATTGCAAAACATTTCAATCACCTCTTCGTGACCGGTGTAAAAAAATATTGGTCGAATCCCAGTAGGAATCATTTATCAGATATTTCATCTTAAATGTATCATTTTTAGTAAAACTAAAATGGTCAACCTAAAAAAATAAAAATCAAGTTGTACTGACATTTACTTATTAAATTAAATGTTAAGCAATCAGAAAAAACTAATGAACTTGATTACTTCCTACTATTGCCGCTAATAGGAAATCAAACAACAAGCTAAAATTTTACCTTAAATGAAAAAATAATTTACTGTATACTAGCACGCATTAATATAACTGATTTAAGAGGCTACTGGAAAGTGTGCCAAATTTGTAGTTTAGGGTATATTGTTTTTTTTTTTCATTTTTTCTATGTCTTATTATTTAAAAAGAGTGAAAGTTTTAAGGGTTTGAATCTGATTGATGAGAAGAACCATTTGGTTGAGACTTCTAATCGATTGATGGGCTTATATTAAAAACCCACTGTTTAAAAAGTATTGCATAAAAAAAAGAACTAAATTCTTGTATTGTTAATTTTGAATAGTAATTCTATTAACTTACCGGCACTGTGAAATATTTTGTCTCGTATACATAACTTGGTAGAGAACTTTTTAAAGTAATCACCAGGAAAATCAATAATAGATTATTCATCTTCTTCGCATACATTCTATAATAAGGACTTGCTATTAATTGGATTAGGCCCAGCGGCAAAAAAAGTTATCGCAGGTCTGGATACAGAATTCATATATGTATAGAAAAACATAAATAACAAATATATTAATTTTCAAAGTTGTTTTTAATGTTTTATACTGGTTTTTCCTGTAATTTCCGTATTTACTCGTATATTAAATAGAGTGATAAAACACAGGCCGATGCAATTGTTTTGTACCCTATAGTAAATTATGACAGCTATTTAACTAAATTTGTTGAGGACAATCTATTTTTGTTTTGCGATACAGCTGCGTCAACTGACGGTACACAAATAAAATAATCTAATTTTGATAGCTCTATTTTTGACAAAACCAACAGGTACATATCGCACTGTCACTACAATAAGGGCTAAGGCCATAAAACTAAAAAAAAAAGCAAATGTTCAGGAAATCAATATTAGAAATTAGAACAATATAATAATTTTTTTACTGAACAAAAAATAATTATAACTTTGTTGTGATTTTAATTACATAATTTGAACAATTTATTTCTTTTTCTGGATCACTACTATTTCCCCATGCTTCGCATATGACATATAGAACACTGATCCTTTTTTGGTTGGAAGAAATATTTCTCTGATTATTAAACAAGTCATAGTATGTATGTTTAAGTACACATTTATTTTTATTTTCTTCTTGATTAATTTAATACTGTACAGTTCAACAATAGTTAAGCTACCATCGATATACTCCCTTTGAGTTTGTGCTCTTAAATAATGAGAGCTAATCGAGGAAATGAATCAATGTGGTCTAACACATCTTGTTTCATTTTTTCTGAAATGTGGCTATGGTTGTCATGTTTACCCTGTTTCGCTGGTTCCAATACTCCTGCAGTATTCAATTTATTAAAATAGTTTCTTATAATTTTGTCACTTATTACTAGGGTTGATTCAAACATTTTCTTGCATACTCTAATTTTTCCAAAAAATAAGCCATATTGCTAAGTTTTCTATTAGAATTGGGTGTTTTCATTTTATATTTAGGTAAAACCGGAACTGCATATCATGCAATAAACTCACGTTGTCTTACTTTATCACCCATTTCCCAAAACTTATTATTAATTTTATTTCTGATTTCTATATAGAGCTACACTTAGAACGGCAATTTTCACAAGAAGGTTTGAGTGATTTTGACTTGACAATCAACCCTGATGCACTTACATATTTTTCACCGCGGTTTTTTGCTATTTTTTTCACATTTGTCTTCCGTTTATCTGGGTTCTTTGAACGTTTTTTTTTGGGTAATAAATGAAGATCTCCAGAATAAGTCTCAGCTTCCCCTCCTAAGTGAATTGGATTAGTGTGTTTCATAGCTATATTTTCATTTTGAATTTGACTTTCTTGTTCTATGTTATCAACCGACTATTCGTTTTAAATTGGCGTGCAAAGGAACTGTAAAAATAACAAAAATAATTACTTAATAAATGAACAAGATTAATGATTTAATAATTGAAATAAGGCTCTGAAAGATACCCAGCAAACTGCGTAAAGGCATCGTTTGTACTATTCGTATAATCTTTGTAAAGAAAGGCTATACCGGAGGCCGATATTTTCTATGCGGCTTATGGGCGATAAACGTTTTTTTTTTTTTATGTTAATTATTTGTAAAATATATAATAACTAAGAACTAATTACACAATAATCTGAATATAATTTATTAATAGGTATATTAGGATAAATGTATAGTTGTTAATTAAATCGAATAAGGAATAAGTAGGAATTGAAAAATGTTGATAGTGAAAGAAAAGAGGTTTCAATAGCCTGAACATAACATTAGGTACACTTAATTATAAATTTTATATATTAGGAATAATAATAAATATGTGTAGAATTGTTCTAACAATTAATGATAAGTATATTATTGTACTTCAAATATATATATATATATAAATACATTTTAATAACTATAGTAGCATTCATAAGAATTATCCATACTGTATATGAGGTATGGTGTTTCAAAAGGGAATAAATTTAATTTTCGAATATTAGTTTTCTTCCTACTTTGAAACGCCAGTCTTTATATTAAAGTCTAACTATATAGAACAATTAATCAGTGACGTCGTGGATCCATTTAATAAAACTTAGTATTCGATAATTTCCTTAAATGATGAACGTAAGTTAAGTTCATAAGGCATAGGCACCAATAAAAATGAATAAAAACAACAGTATTTTATATAATTATATGTGCCGTGACACAAAATATAAACAATTATTAGTGATGCAAATATCATCCTTAGGAACACAATGTAGAGAATATATCTCTGCTTCGTCCCTAGGAATTGCACGTATGGTTGGGCTTGAATTACACGGTAGTCGGGCTGTTGGAGACACTTAATTGGGGTTTATTAATGTAATAAATATCCACCTTACACAAGCGATACTTATTTTTCAGGGAGAAATTAAAATAATCGGAAAAAATGTGTCTATTGTTATGTAAAAGAGTACTAAAGTGTGTTCACTCAAATGGATAAGGCTCCGTTTATTAAGTCGGAGGTATTAAAATAATTTTATCCTAAATAACTCTCCGATCCCCGTTTAAATATACCCTACTTTATAAGTCCCATTTAATTACCATATAATAAGCTTTATCTTGTAAAAATGTCTAGTTTCACTTAGAGTTTTTAGTGAACTGCATTTTTCTTAAGTAATGCTCAAGTTATGTGCAATTATTCTTTAGACCTTCAATAACTATAAACTCAATTTGAAAAACTTCTCTAGTGCTTAAAATTCGATATAGGGGGGGGGGGGGGGTACTTGTTGAGGACTTTTTTTCTTGTATATAATACGTATTATTATATTATATATATTGTTATAAAAGGAGTCATCGTTCGACCAAAAACGTCTTTTGTCGAATAGGAATTAGAATAAATAATACATTTAATTAGACTACATATACGAATATTGTGGTTTTTAAAATAATTTATAATCTATAGTCCTGTATTAAAATTAAATTATATGTAATATATTTTTATTTAACAATAAAAATGAAAGTACCGTATAAAACATGTAAGAAACCCTATTAGTTCCATGCACAGATATATAATATATAATAAACTAGATTGCTAACTGTATATACCACCAATAGAGAAAATTGAAGCAGCCACTTTCCGCCATATTGGTGGGAATTAGAACCTTATCACGCGAGAATAATATATGTGTATAACAATCACATATATATATATATATATATAATAATATATGCCGATATATATTATATGCATTCATAACACACAAAAATCCCACCAGAATGGCGGACTGTCGGCTTCAAATCTTATCGCTAGTTGGCAATCTAGTTATTATATATCTGTGGTTCCGTGTAAAAGTCGACCTCCGGGCGAATGGTGGCGCTATCTACGTGACAAAATGGTACTACCAAAATACCGTTTCTTGGCCCGCTAATTTAGTTGGAGTGGCGTCACTTCTCTACATCGTGGGCCAAACTCAAGCAAAACAAAATATACTATTATTTGTATAATAACGGAATAGATTTAATCTATTGCGTGGTATACTGTTATGATGAACGCGGTTGCGGTCGGTGGACACAAACGTTGATCGAGTACCCACGTCTGGCACTGATCTCATTTCGTTTGTTGATAACACGGCTGATAAATGATAATTTCCACAACAGCCACTATTGATAAAAACACACACCAAACTATTAAATTATAATAAAATTGTCCGTAGGTGTGTGTTCGTGAGTTAGAATATTTTTTAAATAAAAATCATACTGTAAACCATTTTTTACCGCGAACCGTGCGTAGTATACAACATAAATTATTATTGACATACATGTTTATTTAGCTGGTGTTGGCGTTTACAATTACTGCGTCGAAACGGCGAGACCGTGCGTGTTCCCCAAATGGACTCGTGTCGGGGTCCACATCCGACCAGCAAAGACGAGACAGATGAAAACAGCTATGTTCGCATGTAGAGTCCGGGAAAATGTTTAGCAAGAAAGTGCAGGCGGACGTGAAGAAATCGGCACATAAAATATTGGATCCCAAAAAAGATGCCGCCACTAGGTTTAAACATCTCAAATTTTTACTGGGTAAGTGTGTAATGTGGTAGTTTACACCAAAATTGAGTACATACTATCATAGATTAAATATACATAGCATAGTTGGGAGTACGTAAAAAAAGTTATAAACTTTTCACATTACATAATAGTCTTATTGCACTTAAAATGCAAAAATGTAGGTATGGTATGGTATTGCCAGTCATTGCATTAGTGTTGCACGTCTATAGTATTATATTTAATCTATGGTACTTTTATAATATTACAATATTTCCCGATGGCTGTAAATTAATTTTTGGCGTTGTGCTTTCTGTTTCCATTTGCCGACTTTTAGATAACAATGACGATCACGAATCAAAACATTTATTCGAAAGTAACTACAGCAGTGTATACCAAATATTTTATGAAAGTTTCACGACCATTGAAACAAATTTAAAACAAAGAGGTGAGTACTTATTAAAAAAAAAAATGTTATTGTGTTTATAAGTTTTTATTGCTTACTGTTTATTACCATATTTTAATTTTTTATTTATTCAAATACTTAAAAATTACTTGATTTTTTTTTTTTTGTTCATTAAATTTATTGACAAAAAAGCGTGCATGTCTAATTTTGAACTGCACAATAAGAATTATTACAATCATTGTACAGCATATTGTATAGAATAGTAAATTAACTTGACAGTTTACATTTATATTTATATATGTATATATATTTTTTTTTTAAGTTACTAAAATCCATAGAGATGAGTTGGATACGATACTAATAATTTTAGAAAAAGTGTTGACATTATGTCCAGAAATTGTAGCACAGCGATGGCAGTGCCACAGTATGTGTATAATCATTACTAAATTGTTGCACCCAGAGAATTCATGGCGTTTAAGACGTGAAGGAATCAAGTAATTATTATTGAAAAATATATTTTTACAAACTAAATGTTATTTTACATATACATGTGAACTTATAGGTTTTTTATTCTGTGGTATCAAATTTTGGGACACAATGCTCCAGATTCTGTTCATGCAATGTTTGCCACTCTTGTCCCAAGCTTTTCTAGTCCCATACCGGAACACCCAGGATTGGTTGCATTATGGGCAAGCCAGTCAAACCCAACTAGTTCACAGGATCCAAGTACTACACAATTAAGTTTAAAGTTTATTATATAAATCTATTATAAAATGTTTTTTCATTAATGAAGACCCTGTTGGACCTTTGGAAACAACACCTTTGTATGGTCCACAAATTGGCGAAAAGCAACCAGATGACACGATCAAATACTATTTGGAATCTTTACTTGAACTTATGGTTAATCAGGTAAATGTTTCAAATATTTAATTACTATTTCATTTTTATTAAATTACTGTACAATTTTTTTTTTCCTTTGAATAATTTGAACTTTAAATAATTATGAAATAAATTCAATATAATTATTCATTAATTTAATCAAAAAATTATTATTAATTATATATTATTAAACAAGTTATGTTATATTCTACTAATTAATATTGTCTGTATACTGTATTGTTATTTATTGACATGAATATGTGTTATGGCTGGTCGTAAAATTTCTTTCATAAATTTGACCTAACTTGAATTTCGACATCAAAGGAAGAGCAGGGAGGGGAAAGAGAAAAAAGAGTAAAGAGAAAAGTGATAGATGGATAAGAGCAGAGCTAAGAAGAGAGGAGAACAGAGAAGATTATTGATAAAAGAATCGGTTGATAAGAGATTATTAAGGAAAATGAACATGAATCTATTCTTACAGATACCATAAGATATATTCATGATCCAATTTGTTTCCTTCAAGATAAAAACAATTTTTTTTTTAATTGCAGGTTCCTCGAATAATTTGGAAAGACCAAAGAAATTGTCAAAGACGATGTTTTAACTATTTATTTGAAAAATTTAAACAGTATTATTTACCTGTTATTTTTCCCGATTACTCAACATCTACTAATGTGTATAAACCTACAGCTGGTTAGTCATAACAAACTATTTAATTAATTTAGTATCAAAGGTAATGTATTATTCCTTGTTTTTAGAACTACCCAATTGTTTGTCTCAAAACAGAAATGATGCGTATAGCAGTTGTCGAGTTTGTGTAATAAAATGGCTTGCAGGATTTACTCAAGACATAAAACAAAAAAGTTCTAACTATCCAAATATCTCTATGATATCAAAACTTATTGGGTATGTTATACATACATGTAGATTAAATACAAACAAATAACAATGTTTAAAATGTTTGATACACTGTAAAAATACAGTTTTTTAGTTTTATAAGATATTATGATTCTTACACTTATGTATTAATACATTTAAATTTTTTAAGGGATAAATCGCAATTGGTGGCTTTTGAAATTGTCAGAGATACTTTGTACAAATCAAGAGAAAATGTAAACTTAATTCACGAAGTTTTCCGACAAGCATTTTTATTAAATTTTACTTGGGCAATGGCAATCAGAAGAACCATAGCTGTATACAAAGATTGGATTCAACTAAGTGTAAGATTTTTGTTTTCATATTAGATTTTTTTTTTTCAATTACACACATTTTAAACATCTTTAAAAAAATGTACATGTTTTTTTTATTATAACTCAATTATTTTGTTTTTTACTAACTATTTATGTGATTTCTCATTATAACCAAAAGGTTCAAAAAATTTAAGTTAACTCTTTTTTCATTTATTTAACTTTTGTAGGTTCCCCAACAACCACCGTTTATGTTGGAACCAGAGGGACCTTCCATGTCAAGTTTAGATGTATGTACAAAAATATATATATATATATATATATTGAGTTTTTATTTATATTTTTTAATTTATATTGTTGATCCAAGTTATGTAGAAGTTCAAAGAACTAATAATAAGATATAACATATAAACTATGTATTAATCATTAATGAAATGTTAATTATATTTATGTTATAGCATAATTCCGAAAAGTATGAGCCTAAAATTGGTGATATAAGAGCTGGATTTCAGGTAAAAAAAAGTTATCACTTAAGTGTGATTTCATAATGTATAAATTGTACAGTTATTTTAATCTTTGAAACATACTATTTATTGTTAGAATGTTTTGCAATTATTCATGACAAACGCTCTCCATGTGTTTGTGGCACAAAGTGGAACTGAATACCCTATGTTATTAGAAGAACAAGTTGATACCTGCAAAAGAGTTCTAAACATTTATAGATATATGGTCATGCATACATACATGTCTGTAAAAACATGGTAAGAATATTTAGTAAAAAAGTTACATACATATTTATTTTAAACAATGAATATGCACAGTTGACAATGTCAACTATATTATTTCAATATTACTTTTTATTCATCTAGACATATTTTGTTCTATATTTTTTCAGGGAACAATTATTAAATGTTTTACTAAGGATAACCACTCTCGTGTTAAATAAAAAACCGCCTAGACGAAAAGAAGACACGCTATCTGGAAAATTGTCACCTGCTATTTTTCAAGTAATTAACCAATCGTAATTTGGTTTTATTTCAATTATTATTCTAGAATATTTACTTCAAATAAATAAATTATAAACAATTATCGATTAACGAGTCTAGTAATACTTTTTATTAATTGGAAACGTTAACCTTGATAAAAAAAAAAAATTATTAAGAATACGTGTAATTCGATTAAATAATAATTAATCCAACGTATCATAATTTTGACTGTATCAGTTTACAAATTTCTTTAGGCATAAAAATACTGTTATTTGATAGACAACTTTTGCTGGAAATTACCATTGCAGGCAACCATTTCTCAGGTAGCTCAACCTTCATTTTTTGGATGTTGTAAAGATGTTTTGTCAATGATTAATTAATGTTACCAGAGCATGAAAGTATTTGTTAAGTATGTAAAAGAGGGTATTTTGTTTAACTTCTGATTTTTTATACTTCACCCATTTACCTCTTAAATGTAAAATTAATTAAAGTCATTACTAAGATTAATATAGTGTTAACCTAGTATATGACTTAACTACATTTGATTGATTCGCGTTCTCATTCAAAGCCTAACACAAGTTTGCCTGTAATTGTAGCATGACAAAACAAAATTTATAACTACTCATAATTGAACAATCTGTGTCAATAACATATATAAAAAAAAACAAAAATTAAAAACTTTTTTGACACTTACACAAAAGCATGATCTTTGTGTGTAACACGGTTAGTTATAAGTGATTGCTTGTGATGTGTGTATGATTAATGTATTATTTATAGTACAACGTGTATACTGTATTATTAATAAATGAACATGTGTAACTTGGGTCTAAAAAGCCAATCTCGATTTTTGTTGCTTTCTGATTCCATGTAATTTTTTTTTAATTATCTAAAACTTGTCGCAGGAATACCATGTTGTACAAAACATAAAAATTGCTTACATTTTTAGTAGTGTAACACATTTTAACCAAATATTGACATTGGCCCCTTTAGACCCAAGGTACAGATTTACATTGTAATGTATAAGAACTTGAGCATGCTATGGCCATTTATAGATTCAAATGTGTTATTAATCACTCATGTTTTTATTCTTTATAGACTTTAATTGTAACCTGGATAAAAGCTAATTTGAACGTTCCAATTACGGAAAAACTGTGGGACCAATTTTTGACTGTATTATGTTCTCTTACACAATGGGAAGAACTTATTAAGGAATGGTCGGTGAGTATAATTAATGGTAACCAATATGTCATAATTACTAAATCAAAAATTAACACACAAGTAATTTTCTCATGTATAAGTTCTATAGTTATTTTTTTAATTTGTATGCAACCAACTAAATACATAACTAATGAAATCAATTGTTTTATGATAGATGAAAATAATATTATAACCCAATACTTACAGAATATAGCACCAATTTGAAAGAAGTTTTTAAAACTTTTTAAAGATGCCAATATAATTTTCAATTTTATAATTTTCAAATAAATAATTATAATATAACATAAATTATTTTAATATTAACTTGACAGTATATTGCAAAAAACGACCACTTTGTAACTGTTGGTATATACAGTAATTTTGCACTTCGCATTGCAGAGTAATAATAATTATTTGTAATCACAAACTGAACGACAGTGGATGTGGATGTATAAATTACTTGTCCTACCAAAGTATTTTGTCGTTGTATTCTCAGACACAACTTAAAAAATATTTCACTAAGCATTACTCTTATCAGCTAATAATTTCTTATAAAAATTAGTGTTATTTAAATAATTTTGATCATAACAAATACCGTTTAGGTGCATTATCAATAATTATAATATGTATAAGTATATGTGTGTGTGTAATATATTTCTAAATACTTACTAGTTATATTATCAGTAATAGCATATGAATTGTGAATTAAATATAATTGTTATTTCTGGTAATTTGTAATCCATGTATGAAACTGTATTATCACACACGATGCAGTTTTCTTAACATGTACAATTTAAAAAAAAAATATTTGTTCACTGTAATTCAAATTGTTTATTATTTTATTGTGTAAACACTATAATTCACTATCACTATAATAATAACAACATAAAAATACAATAGTTTTCCATGGAAAATTCAACATTCATTGAATTTATGGTAATTAAAAATCCGCATATTAATCTGATTTTTTTTATGTAATTATTTGTTTTTTTTTTTTTATCAACAATGATTTATGGAATACAAAATAATACAAAATGACAAAATAAAACAAATCACAATTTGCTTAAATTGAACAATTGTTTTTAAATATGCAATATAAAAATTACAACATTAGTAGTGGTCGTGATTCAATAAGCCAGTAAGATGACAAAAAAATTATCATACTTAAAATCTGTAGAAAAAATTTGTTTAAGTAAAATTAAAATGTCTAGACGAAGCTTTAAGGTCGCATACAATTCCTCGACATTTATGTGCAATATTTATCAGCTACTAATTAACACGTGTTTTATTTTTATTTTTAGAAAACATTGGAAACCTTAACACGAGTACTAGCAAGGCATGTTTACAACTTAGATTTAGCAGATTTACCGTTAGACCGGGTAGCAGATAAAAAATCTAGAAGAAAACTAGGAAACAACATGTGCAATCTGTCGTCGTCACGAACTAGTGAGCAAAAGGGTTCAGTAGCAGGTATAAAGCTAAATATACATATAATGTAGTTGACTTAGGTATGATGAATGAGAATAAAATATAAACTGATTTATCTATTTTGATTTTAGATGTAGAAACACGATTGAATAACTTGAACAAAAAACGAAAATTTGTAAAAAGATCTAATAGTGATACAGACATATCATATAATTCTTCACTTCAAAAATACACTGAAGCTGATACAGTATTCAATATTACAGGTGATTAGAATTTAATCTATAATTATGTATAATTTACCAAAATGTTCTTTTTTCTTTAAGAAACTCCAACAGCTGATGATAATAACAAATTTAACTGGAAAGAAGATACTGTGTCGTCATCAAAATGTTTTTTTAATGTCCGAAAATGTCATTCATTAGAAAATTTAACTCAGCTTTTAAGTAAGTGTTGGTTTATAACTTTGTGGCTGTTCAATAAGTATTACTATGTTATTTTAATGTTTTATGTTATAATACAGTACTGCGAATGCGAGACAGTAATTCAAGATCGCCTTCACCTGTACCATCGACTGGAATGGAAAGTAGCCTATTTAAAGAAGCTCACATGCAAATTGAACTTATGTCTTCCCAGCACCCTTCTACTGGTAAGTTGGTACAACAGTAACCAAATGTATAAAACTATAAATATTTCTTATTTGTTCTTAGAAAAAGTAACAAATAAAAAATCAATCATGTCTGGTGGGGACGTACGAGGGTGGACGCCAGATGTAGCAGCAATATTATGGCGCAGGATGCTTGGAGCTCTCGGAGATGTAAATACATTAGAAAACCCTGTTCTCCATGAACAAGTTTTCCAGTATTTATTAGATCTCAACGCTACCATGACCAAAGTAATTATTAGCCATCGTCACATGTATTGACCACCCAAAAAAATCATAACCTCATTTTTTTTGTTATTTGTAGATTTATCAAAACCAAGGCATGGCAGAAGAAGAAAATTCTGTATCGTTAGAATTAGTACCACCCATATCAATAATTTCCCCTTGGTGTTTTCAGGTAAATATACAAAGTTTAGCAATTTTGTTTAAAAATTTTAACAAAAATTAAGACTGTTTTAACAGTTTTAAATCTGATTTTTTCTGAATCCAAAACAGTTAAAATCTAATGTTTCCTATAGTTGGACTGTTTAATTGACTCTGTTTGTAAACGCCCATTAAAGAAATATCAAATGGTAGGTACACAATATTATTAATCTGTTTTATTTTCATAGGCTCTAACATTACCAAAAGCATATAGAAATGGTAAGCTTCACGCTTATAAGTTATTGTGCCAAATGACTTTGAGTAATAGGGAAACACATCAAGGACAAAAATATATTACTCAGTTTTTTAAAGTGTTGCATTATGGATTGACATCCAGTGATCAGGTATTTTAAATTATTGTTTATTAAATAATTTTGTGTTACTATTATTTTATTTTTTTTTATTTTTAGGAGATTGTCAATACTATATTAAAAAATACTGGCCCTGAATTTTTTTCTCATCAGCTTCCTGGTTTCACTTTGCTAACTTTGGATTTTGTTCATGCATGTAACGAAGTCTTAAGTAGCACAAATGTAGTTATGGTATAGAACTCCTAATTTAATTACTATTATTGTTATTATTAACTTCCTTTATACGTTTTTCACAATATTTTACTTTAGGCTCCGCGTGCCGAAGCTGCTTCCATATTAGGATCAATATTAAGCTTTCCGCCAAACCTGACTAAAGTGCCTTATCTGAAACCGGATTGTCATCAGTTTGACATAACTTATTGTCCCGATATCAAAGTAATATGACTATAATATTATTTTAACTGTAAAAAATACTGAACTTATTTGTTTTTTTTTTTTAGGATACAGTAATAATGATCATGTTGAAAGTAGCTAAACGAGAACCATTAGGGCTAGCTAGATGCATCACTTTGTCCAACTTGGGCATGTTTTTATGTCAAGAATTGGGCAACAACAGCAAGCACCCCTGCATTAAAGAAGCAATCATCACATTATTGCTTGCCTTACAAGTAATTTATATTATATTCTGTAAAAAAAAAAAAAACAATATTTTACTAACAATTATTTCTGTTTAGTTTAAGAATGAGAAAGTATCTCAAGTAGCTTGTGACATTGTAATGCTACTACGCGATTACATTCCTCATTTACTCAAATATTATCCAGATATCCCACCAAAAGTGTTAGAGGTATTTGTTTAACATTAGTTTTTCTTTTAAATTCTACAACCAGAATAACTAATTATTAAATGTTGAAGGTGTTGTCTGCAACATTAGCAAATATGCTACCAATTGGTGATGGGAACAAAAGGCTGCTTACCTCGTTAGTATTTTGTTTAGCTGAATGGACCATGCAAATACCAATACCCCTGTTGTTAGAACCACGGCCAAAACAAAGTTTATCAATGACTGTATTTATGGTATGATAAATATTATACTATTATCTACATCAGTTATATCAATTTATTTAAATTTTGGCTATTTATTATTTTATTATTTTCCGTAGATCATTGACGCCATGAGCAGAAACTGTAATGACAAGACAATTGAAAATCTCAGAAAAGCTACAGAAATTAATTTGGAATATTCTAATGAATTTTTATTTGACATAACGTTGGACAATTTAAAAACTGAAGAATTGAAAAATAACAGCATGTTTAGTGAACACAACATGGCACCTACGCATTTGAACAGCAGTCGACATTCCCTTCAAATTGCTTCGAGGATGGTTAGCGTTTATTATACTCATGTATAAAACGCTAAATTAATTAATTCAATTATAATTTATAGATAATTAATCATTTATTGAATCATTTGGGACAATTTCCTATGTTGATCGGTCCTGCTCGATTATGTTCTATGGTATCGGAACACGATGACATATTAAACTCTATCACTGATCAACTCACTATTGACATTTTTGCTGTACCCAACATACAGGTAACATTTTTATTATGAATAGGGCCCAGAAGTTTCTATGTTTTTACCATAAGGTCCAAACCAATACATGACTAAACAAATTGTTATTTCTCTTTAATGATTCCGATTATAACTATTTTATAATGCGTATTTTTTCATACTTAAAATTTTTCATTTTTATAAGTATTCATTGACAATTTATAGTGTAAATATATTATCTTATTTTTTTTCTGCATATAATATATATTTTTGCAATTTATACCTTGATTCATTTCGACAATACATTAAACTTGTTTGTCATTGTTCAATATCTTAATTAACTCTTTATAACTGGTGATTATAGTTGTTCATGTCTGTGACTAATATGCTGCTTACATCCATAATTGAACTTCCCGCGTTAGAAGTGCCAGGCGGTGGTATTACGGCAGGACTAAGAACTGGGCTGAATCAGGTTCGCATTTTACAAAGAGATTTAATTGGAAAGTCTTGTTGGGATATTTCTCCTTTGTACTGTGGACCAAACTTTGATCCCGATAAAGGTAAATGAACAAAATTAGATATCCATTCTGACTAATTATTTATCATATTTTATGTTTGACTAAAGATTTTAGTGAAACGTTTTTGGAAGACACAATTCGTGAAAATAGTGGAAACCAAGAATCAATTATGGTGTCTTGCGGCACAAATTTTCAAACACAACACACTATGCGTCATCGAGCTCCTGACGTATTACCAACTTTTGAAAATTCTGCAGATGATCTTGACAATTTAGATGATGTAATTATCAGTTATTTGTAATAGATGTAATTATCAATTATTTGTACTGATTTTTTTTAACTTTTTTTTTTTTTCGGGAACCTTAGCTTTTACAGTATATTGGATACACGAGTTCAGAATGTTTAGAAGACATGGAAGTCTTGTTGAATAATCCTGCATCAAAATCTCCTATGTCTTCTCAGTTGGAGCAAGATGTAATGAGCACCATTTTGGGGCAGCAAATCATGGATAATAATTACACTGAAAAACTTCTATGTTCTTACTATAACCGGTAAACTAACGCGTTATTTGATTGTAATAGAACGCTAAATTAAAAAAATGTCTTTGTTTTATTCAAGTTTGGAGAAACGACCCCAATGCAGTGTGCATAAATCCCCATTCCAAAATGGCCGAGCTCTGTTTTCTGAGCTGGGTTTTACTAGCTGGGATCAAAGACGCCAAATTTATCAACTTCAGCGCAATGAGAAAGTTTTAAGAGAATTGAGAGTACTAGATGCACAGTGTTGCAGAGATACTCACAAAATAGCAATTATTTATGTGGCCGACGGACAAGAAGACAAGGTGTCTATCATATCTAATACTGGTGGAAGTCAAGCGTATGAAGATTTTATTTCGGCTCTAGCTTGGGAGGTAATTCATTGATTTTTGATTTTTTTATAATTTTTGAAAGCTTCTTAAAGTATTGGTTTGTCTATTTAAATACATAGGTGGAGCTAGAAACCCATAACGGTTTCATGGGCGGACTGCAGCGTAACAAAAATGCTGGAACTACAACTCCTTATTACGCAACATCATTCCTGGAAGTCGTGTTTCACGTAGCCACTCGAATGCCTACCACGACTAATCAAGAGGCGTATATCCAAAAGGTTACTTCAAAGTTTATGATAAATGATAAATTATCCAGATCATTTTTAATGGTGCCATAACAGCATGTTTTTGTGTAAACAGGCGAGACATTTGGGAAATGACGAGGTACACATTGTCTGGTCGGAGCATTCCAAAGATTACAGACGTGGCATAATCCCCACAGAATTTTGTGACATTTTGATTGTGATATATCCATTGCCTAATGATTTGTTCAGAATACAGGTTTCTAGAAAACCCGAAGTAAGTCCTATACGTTTGGTAAAATGGTGTATATTTTAATATGATAATCATGTTAACAAAAAAATACAAATTTAGGTACCTTACTTTGGACCACTGTATAATGAAATAATAGTTCAGAAGCCTATACTGGCCAATGTCGTTAGGTGTACAGCAATAAATGCATCATGTGCTAAGCGTAGCATGATACCATTTTACCAACAGTAGTAAGTTTTTTTTTTTTAATAATTTATCATTAGCCTTCTAATACATTCATGTATAAAATATAGTTATGAAGAAAGATGGAGGTCGTTAGATATGGTAATGAAAAATTACAAACACTCGAGTACTTTTGAAGAGTTTATATGTAATGTATATTCACCAGTTCAAACCATATCGCCATTCCAACAGCCATACACAACTTCAAGAGGTTCAGGTAGCTAATTAAAGAAATGCACAGTTTTTTTTTTTATGTATACCCAACATTTATTTATTTTTAGTCGACAAATTCAAATCTGATGACGGTTCGTCATCATCCAATTTGGCTTCCGCACTTATAGACTCTCACCGAAGTAGGAGTACCAAAGGTAACATTTTATATTTAAAACCCGGTGGTTTTACACACGAGTGGACAGAGTATTAGACAAGCGTAGTTCTTAAACGTACAAAATATGTTAGGTATGTCAATAGATTGGTCAATGAAGAATGGGGCCGATATGGATATGTTGATTTCAGCCGGAATATCTCCTAGGCCCTACAAGAAATTAAGTTCTCACCAGAACCAAATGCAATAGATTAATTTAAATGACTGGTACAAATAAATTGTTTTTAGATGTGTGTTAAACATATGCATGTAGTTTATATTTTAAATAAGAATAAACCAGCGCAACAACTAATAACGGCTGTGCTTTATTGCATTCGTGTAGTCAGAAGTAACGCATTTTGTTTATTCTTATTTGGAATAGAGTATAGTCTAACGTTTTTTTTATAGCTAATTGCATGTGTTTTGTCATAATTATTATTCTACTATTGAAGCCCTTAGGGCTAGAATTATTACCCATAATTTAAATAAAAACAACAGTTATTTGGATTATTTTGAAGTAAACTCATATCATATTTTTATGATTTACTATTAACCCACTAGTTTTCCTTCTACTCTATTTGATATAAATATTTACAATAAAATTATTAAAAAATATCAATTTAATTATTTATAAATTATATTAATTAATTAATACAAACTATTGTAGTTTGAATATTACATTATATTATGCTTGTGTGGTGAAAATAAGTATAATTATAAAATTATTGTTTAAATAACTTGTTTCTTAAATATTTTATCATAGAAAAAAAAACTAAAATAATATTTTTGTTTTCATTTTTTACTGTTTTATACGCTTTAAATCCATACATGTTTCTTATAGAATACACTATTGCAGATATATTAAAAGAAATAAAGCCATATTATTAGTATTTATTGATTAAACCAGCTGTTGATTATAATACAATAATTTTGTTCTTAAATATTTCTTAAATGTATTAAGTGAAATATTAGCTGGAGTTAATCAATTTTATTTTACAACAATAAAAGCCAAGGTTTTTAGAATTCCTAAAACAATACATTTTTTGTAGTTTATATCATAAAACAGATTACCAGTATTTTATAGATTTTAGCTATATTATATTCTTAAATTATTGCGAACTATAGTTATTTATGTTAATTCTGAATAATTTCGTTTTAATGTTGCTAAAATAATTATCTAATTTTTCATATTTTGTATTGTATGTACAGTTCATAGCAACCATTGAAAAAAGTAGCAACTGTATTTTTAGTTTTTAAAGGCCATATTTTTTTTGTTTAACTAATGAAAGTTATTTTATTTTATCTTTCAGAATCGGAAATGCAAAGCGTACGTCTTTGAATGGTGCATTTCTTATAGGAAATGACAATGTTTGCCAACACAGCTCAATATTCTGACAGGGTTGACGAAGTAATGAAATAAGAATATTTATATTATTTTTAACGTGCATTGTAGAAATGCGTAAAATATATTTTTATTAGGATTAGCTGTTAGTATAGTATTAGAACACAAACGGTATGTAACCATCGTTGCGACCGTGTTCAAAAGTACAAAAAAATATATAATTAATATTATTAGATATATCTTTATTATTTTCTATTTTGTTACTTAAACATTAATTTTTTTATTATCTTTATTCCGTCCTGTGTACTTAATCGTTTTATTTGGAAACTTAGACTGACGTTTTGTGCACTTTTGTACTCCTTGTTCGCTTAAATTGTGATAAGGTTCAATTAATTTATTTTTCTTCTTTTTCTATTACTAATTATAAGTATTATTATTGTGAAAATTTTATCAAAGAAATCACTCTCCACTCTTCCTGTGTTTGATGGTAAATGCACATTATACTATACCAAATCATGTATTATAAGATTGCCATTTACTAATATTTATATATATATTTTTTTAATTTATTATTTCACGTCTAACGATCTCTTGTGTAGTAATTTTTTCTCTTTTTAAAAAAAAAAAAATTTTAATTCCATTTGCAATAGTTAAAAAATGTATAACTTTCGACATTTATAAGAGGTATATTTAAATGATTTTTTTTTATATCTATACATATATATATATTTATTTATTATTTAACCGTGCTGTTCTGTTTTTACTTTGTGATTTTTTTTCTTCAATTTTTGTTAAAACAATCTTACACTAGAGCGCTCACTCAACGTCGCACATAGTGTTATAATTTATTGTCGTTTTCCGTGTAAAGTGCCCATATGTAATAACTTAAGAAAATAAAGAAATCTTGTAAAATTTTTAAAATAATATTAACCTTTGTTTGTACTATTATTATTGACCTTTAAAAAAAACCTTTATTTTATTAATTATATACATAATATTAAGGAATCTAAACAGTAATTACCGTAGGTACATAAGAAAAATAATGTTTTAAAACTAGATCATAGATCAAGGTTTTTATAAATATATTTTAATACTTGATAGCGTTGTCTCCTAACTGTGTTGGTTTTTTTTTTCAAAACATATTTTATAAAAATACTATATTGGAAATATTGAAGACGAATAGTTATATTAGCAACATTAAGGAGTGTAGTGTAATTTCACAAAAATTATTTTGTAATTGATTAGACAAAACGCTCTGGACACCCAGCATAATCCATCTACTTAGCATAAAATAGTATTGACAGATATAGTAACCACCCAGTTCTAGTTTACATAATAACGACTCTGAATAATTGTTAATGTTGCACATTAAGTTTACTTTTCTAAAAAAAATTTTTTTAAAAACTCGTATCAATTAATACGCATTAGTGTAGCTTAATTGTCTACACATATTTTGAAAAACGTGCTATACGCTGTTGAGTAATATCTAAGGAACTTGACTAGCATTGAAGTAATTGAAAAATAGCTAGTAGACCTCGAAAGTACAATCTCACTTAGAACTTTTAGCATCTAATAAATACAGCGACAATATTACTTCGGGTAAGATTATTTTATTAGTAAAAAGGAAAAAAAATAAAAAAATTAGTATGTTAAAAAACAAAAGTATATATATAATTACATACATAATAATATTTTAGGTAAATTACATAAAAACTAATCGTTCAATATACAAAGTACACATAATAATTTTAGGTATGCTAAAAAAAATGTCCAAAGGTTACTCCATACACTACTCGTCTTGTTAATCGTCTTTAAAATATAAAATAATCTGTTTTAATAAAATATTGATTATACAGTATAATATTGTTCATTGATGGTATTGCTACAATATTGTAATTCATTGTTGGACGACCGATAAAAAAATGATTATCTTTAAATTTTTTTGTTATGAGCAAGTTTATACACGTAACATAAACTATTTATAATAATATATTTTAATAAGGTTTCTTCAAAATGTTACGATGTATGTTTTTCTTCGTAAAATTTCATCACTTTATAGTAGAGACTAGCGAAGTAAAACTTTTATTTATAACAACAATAATACATATTATATCGACAAGTACTTATTAAAATTGATATTTGCTGAAAAAATTATAGTCAATACTGTAAAATGAATAAAAAACCACTGTTTTATTGTCATCACAAATAAAAACCTTGTTGTACCGTATTAACAATAATACCTTATAATAACTAGATTAGTTTTTTTTTTTTTTTTTAATCACTGTGACAAAAACATATTTTGTCATGACGTGAACTTTATGATTTACATGAAAATGACAGTTAGTTAATATATATATATATATATATATACATATATTATGTATTCGAGTATGTGTATACATAAGTACCATATATATTTAAAAACTTAAACCTATTGTTTTTGGCCACCTATATCTTCGTCGTCCGAACAGTCTTCGTCGTGGGTGTGCGTCACTGAAACGGGCCTAGACGTCGTGAAAGTGTTTGCATTTTGAATCTACAAGACAAAAAACCGATTCAATTTTAACGCTAGAAATTAAGCTAACAGCATAGCTAACGCGTTCTAAAACATGTTTCCAATGAAACAAAACATAGGGATAGTACAATATAATAATTGGTGTGTTATGGTCTGATTTTTTATAACCAAAGAAACCTATTTAAAACAAAATAAATGGGTTTCATGTGATTTCATGTTTTTTTTTAACATAACACTTTTATTTATTTGAGAACTCAATACTGTAATTATTCAATAAGTTAATAGTTATGTTTAATAAGTAGAGAAGTATAGTCTTTAATTGCAAAATTCTAACCTAATCTGACACGAATAGACAAATAAACTTTTAAAATGTATAACACAAAATATGTTGACAAATAAAAATAAAAAAACAGGTATTATTTGGAATTCATTGAATTGTATATTGTTAATATATTACTTGATCCAACGCGGAATCCAGAGGTTTCATTGTAAGCTCTGGTTTTTGAGTTGTGTTTTCTTCATTAATAGCATTAATCGAAGAAGCCTCCTCTTTGCTTAATCTCTGTTCGTGTTCGTGCGCTACAGTCGACTCGTGCGGCATCTGAAAATACACTTTATATTAATAATACAATGCAAATGGATAGCACTTAGATCATAAGTATTCGAAGAACACGTGGCATTGCCAAGGTCCGTTTACTTAACTTCCAAGTCCAAGAAAGAGCGAATTGTTTTTTTTTATCTTTTACAGCAAATGTCGCAAAACCGCACCTTTCTCTTTTCCGCCAAAAAAAAAAAAATCTAACTCAAATTAATCGACAAATTAAGAATGATAGCACAGCGTGCAATAATAATATGTATCAATGGCCAAACAACACAAAAGTTCAAACATATTTTAAACACAGTTTTTTTATTTTACACTAGTATAATATAGTATATACAAGTTATCTACAACATAAATTCATGTGACATTTTTATTGTGTTGCTTAATCTAGTATGTTTCTTTACGTGTGCATATTTACACATTTTTAAACTTTTTCATTGTTTTAAAAATATAGTCAAGATATGTTTTAAAAATATTTTGCGTTATATGGTTTTTATACATTTTTTACATTTTACATTTCTTACGTTTTTTCAAACAAAAAATTGTATTGTTAAATTGCTTATGATTACTTTTAAAGACTTCAATAAAATATGATTAGTCATTATAAAGTTAGGAAACAAAATTGATAATACGAGTATATGGCTGTTTTATCTATTTTTAATGTTTTAATTATTATTATTTTATTATTAACTACGATTTAATAAAAAAAAACTTGTTTGGCTTAAGTATTTTATCAGCTTTGACTGAAATTTATTTAAAAAGTTATTATCAGCAGTAATAAACATAACATAATAAACTATTCATTTGTTGAGTCAGAACTTATTGTGTACAATGTACATATTATCAATATAACGAATTTCATATTTCAAGTAAGAAATAATTTTACTTTAATAAAGGACAATACTAAATTATTAATGTTTAGTAAGTTAATAACACATCTTTATTTGATTTTTTCCACTTTGCTTAATTTTAAAATTTTGAACATAATTAGAAAAATAACATTAAATATAGAACAATTAAAAATAATTGTATGTTATACCTCTAGTTGTTTTAGAAATGTCTAATCAAATTTTTCTTATTTTCCCAAAATTTCAAAAAGTCTTGATAATTAGTTTTGGAAATAGGCTACTTATACTTAATTTATCGATTAATTTGAATTAGATTTTATTTTTGACGGAAAAGGATAATTGCCCTGGAGAAATTACCGAGAACCACGATCGACAAGTTAAAATGCCTACCAAAGTACAGAATATCCACTAGAAGAAATTGAATTTTTTATAATGTATTTGTATGATACATATAAGATGATAAATTCATCATAGCCAATTTCTCAAAGTTCAATTTCCCCCTATAATCGAGTTAGTAGCTTTATTCGAGAACAGTTTTCGGTAAATTAAACTTGCAGAGTTTAGTTATAGTGGGTGGGCTCAGGACGTGCCCATGTACTACAGACCTGAAGCCCGTAGGTCCGTTGTGCGCACCCTATTCCACGTTGTCGTATCTCGCCTATGTATATGTCCTGTTTAGTCTAATAACTCTCGACTGTGTGTTAAATAGTCCTGAACTTCTTTCGCAGGGGTTAACAACGTCGATAATAATTGATAAACTCGATTGAAAATTCGTGCATTTAAAAAACCAAAAATGTTTTTGAGCTAGACGTCCCACGAGACAACGGAAAACGCCGATTCGGTATAACCATAATAAGTTTAATTATTTGTGATGCTCGTTATGCATGAAAAACTGTCGAAGGGCAAATCAAGACAGTAGTACATCCGGTATATTTACAGGTCAGTATTGGATCAGACAACATGCACAACTACACAGTTAGACGTGCTCGCTCGAAACACGAAATGACATCATCATCAAACCAAAATCTAGATATAGGAAATACGGTAGTGAATACCTATGTGAATTAATTTTGAATAAATTGTATATAAGGTCGTTTGATTGTAGGGCCCGGACAGTTGCTTCAACCGACCACTCGAGAGCAGTGTATTACTATTATCTCTAATGCGACCCACGGCCGCATTGTTTCGGTTCACGTGAAACCCTAAGATATTGTGCAGCAAATCTCAGCGGTGTACTCGTGCACAAAGTTTTTAACCAGTTTACTAACTATATTCGCACTACAATTATTGCAAGTAGTAATGGCTTATCTCAAACACGTCTAGTGTATAAGCTCGACACGTGCACCGTCTGTTGGCGCACAAAACAAACGATAAAAGAACTAGTAGGTCGTCGGTTCAACCGATAACAAATATTATGCATCGTCCGACAATTTCCAACGTACGAATCCTACAATTACCGTTTGTGCCTAAGTAAGATGATGATGGCTTACCAACATGGCCGGCGCTCTGAACATGTAGCAAAACGGGTAGTAGATGAGATTGAGAAACGAGGCGGCGTATATGTCGGCGTACCGAGTGACTTGAGACGAGAAGAACGTCTGCCTGGAGCCCGACCGGAAGAGGCTGCCCATCAGGCCGTAGGACAAGTCCATCTTGTGCGTCACGTCCCGCATGGCTATGCGCAATTTCGATATGTCCGGCTTCTCGTTGGTGCTACTGTCCAAGTTTCTGTGGGCAAAAAGATTACAATACACTGATGTACACGCGACACAATATGCACTCAATCGAAAAGTCAATGAACCACAAACACGATAAATCCCCTTATAAGGCTTCTTATTTTCCTCAAGCGCAGTTCGTTAGCTCAATACGACTGTGATCCTGTATGAGCGTGTATGGATCACACTTACTTGTACATGTTGCCTAAGGCTATGTCAAAGTTCTGCAGCTCCGCGAACAGCTGACACTTGTCGGTCCACACGTGCAGCTCTTGCACCAACTCGGGCACGACCAAAAACGTTCTCCAGCCTCTGATCTTCTTAGACTTGAGTATGTCGCCAAATATGTGATCGCCCACGTACAGCACGTCTTTGCCCTTGGCGCCGATCAGCTTGGTGAACACGTCACACGAACCTACAACGGACAAACGATACCTTAAAACCGTTGCGGACGAGTGTCGAGAGGCAAATTTTACCTCCAGAGTACACTTGACCCTTGAGCAGGGGTCCGATGTGCGTGCCCATTTTCAAGGCTCCCGATTTGGTGTCGACTTGCCGCAGTATCGTGCCTTCGCTGAAGAACAAAGGTTTCCTGGCGTCCACGACGACTATGTCGAAGTACGTCTGCCAGTCTCGGTGCGGCTCGTTCGGCTGAAAATATTCAAAACCATTGCTGTTAGCTGTCATCGTTAAGAAATCGAGTCCGTCGGTGGTAAGGGCAAAACTGTGGTTTACCGAAGCGCCATGAGGGTAGTCGAACAGATAAGTCATGATCATGTTGGTGAACCAGTAGTCGCTGTTAGTCAACAGAAACACTTTGGCGCCGCTCTGACGAATACGGTCCAAGAACATGGGCAGTCTCGAATCTTTGTTGACGTAGTCCGACAGATTTTGGATGGTCCTCGCTTTCAGATCACCCTGTATAAAAAAAAAAACCCCGATTAATATGTTTCTGACGGTGCTAATAACACAACACGACTCACGTGAATGTGTATCCAGTCGACGGCGTTTCTGACGTCTTGGAAAATCGATTTGAAAGACATGAACAGGTCTCCGCTGCGCACGCCGGTTTTCTCTCTGGGACGAGTACTCGACAAAATAAGTAAGACCGAATTTGGTGCGCACGCTATACAGTACTTACCTAATGTAGTTGGGCGAAGTAGTGAAATAGTTCATGAGGCACGCCAGTAAATATGTTTCTGGAAGGTTGAACAGCGTGTTGAGCACGTAAACGCGGGACTCGTCCAACTGAAGAAACTTGTTTGGATACAATTCGTATACTTGTGAACTACAACACGAACACCACGCAGAATCGATTAGAGGTTACAATATGTTGTTTATTGCAAAACATTGTTGAAGACTTACTGTTTTAAAAATTCGAAACCCTGCACACACACCAATATGTTACCGTAGGAATCCACTTTGAGCAGAGTGCCATACAGCGAATCGAACCACAGACCTCTGCAAAACAACAAATTATTAACAACTTTGTATCAAATCGTGATGACGTTATTGGTGCAATAAGCTTCATAAAACGCATAAGGAGAGGGGGGAGATTGAGCTTTACCGTAATGATATTTCATATTTTTAGGAGCGTCTACACTTGCGCATTTCTGGTCTAAAACAACTCGTTCTACTTCAAACGTACTGTTCCTATGAATACTCTGATTTAAGTTTTGAAAAAACATTTGGATTCTTCATAACATTTTCAAGGCATCGATCGTGGCACAGTTTTAAAATTATTTTTAGTTAATTAATTATTTCAATGTAAGAAACTGCAATATTTAACTTTTTTAAAGTGAAATAATTAATTAACTAAAAATTATTTTAAAAGGTTGCAGCCAAATACCGTACACTTTATTGGGTAAAAAAAGGTACAAGAGGTACGTCATAAATGTAAACGCAAGGCTTCTAATGACATTCATGAGACACCGCGAAAAATAATACGCAAAGAGATGTCATCCATAGAAAATAATACGATAATAGGAAGTAATCACGTAAGCTTCATAAAGAAATCAATGTATTATGAAAGTAGGAAACTTCTATCAAAATTACCGAAAAGTTCAGAAAATGCTCTAAATTTTGTTTCAAATTGCGATATTTTAACCTGCCAACAAAATATGGTTAATATGCACATTTCAATATTTTTAATACATGGTTTTTAATTAAATTTAGTTTATTTTTAGGAACACTTGTTTAAATGTTGGGAAGAATTTTTTAAGGACGGCGATCGTTTAACATTTTTAAAAAACGTCAGCAATCAAGTAAAATTTTGATTTGATTTTATATTTTTAATTTTTCAATATATAAATTGTACCTAAAAAAATGTTCTTTGAATAAATATATAAATAAATAATAGTTTATACGTGATTATAAAATGTGCGATTTTTGAATACAGCAATTTAAAAAAGTGTGCGGTTTTGCCCTGTATTTTATCACAAGTGTGCGGTTTTCGGAATCAACGTTTTAAAATTGTACCAAGATCGATGCTTTGCAAATTATATGAAGAATTCCAATATTTTATCAAAACTTAAATCGAAATAATCTCAGGAACAGTACGTTTGAAGTAGATACATATGTTTTTGTACAAAAATAGATTTTACGTTATAAAAACTGAAAAAAAAATGTAATATCAAAATAGATCCTTCTTTCCTATGTTAATTTATGTTTAAAAATTTTAGCTTAATGTTAACTAAAACCATTTTATAGAAATGAAAATAGTTAAATGGAAATTGTGTTAACAATTATAACATATTTTTCTAACTTTATTATTATAATACTACATAATATACAATGTAGGTACATATTATTAGTGATTTGATATATTTATGTAAATATAATATAATTGATAAATAATTCTGATATTTCTTATACTTAATCAAACTTTCATCAAAGTTAAGTCTCATTATTCAATTTTTTTTTTTTTTTTGAGTACTTAAAGCAATGCCAGAGTAGACCACGTTTTTAATATTAGTTGAAACGTGTATTACTAAACGTCATATTACTAAAAGTACAAGTATTTGGGCTTATCTCAAGTGCTACTGCGATAAACCTTTCACAGACTTACCTCACAGGAAATGTTGGATCGTACTCGAACTGAAGTATTTGCGTGGGGTAACCGAGCGAAACCAACCTTTCCACGGCCAACGCGAATCCCAGTCTTTCGTATGCTGGCGACTTGTATTCTGAAAAAACCGTCAAATCTTACATTACTTATCGCACTTAAGAGAGTTTTTAAAACGCTTATGTGGATTTTTTTAGACTTTTAAACACAAAAAATTAAGCCGAAAATTTAAATACAATAGCAGTAGGCTATAATTGAAACTAACATTTAATTATTTCAACAGTTTTTTTTAACTAATATAATTAGAATAACTAATAATCACCGGCCAACGTGTAGTCCATATCGAATCCATAGAATTTTATGTTTTCCAAGTGTAAACTCCTGTTGACGAAAATTCTGAAACAAAAATGTTCGATATCAATTATTAACTACCGGGTTATAAAAAAACCGAATATAAGACAACAAGCACTTTATAACTAAGCACATCTATAATCTATACACATAATATTATTTATCTGTTATATACCTATTGGCGGGTTCTGTATCTCTATTCAGACTCATAATACTATTTTCTACCGTTACAGTTAACGTAATGTAAAACAGCACAAGCAAAACCCATCAGTATACACTCGAGTTCTTGCGTTGACTAGAATGGATTTTAAGTTTAACACACTAACAAACACTGTACGCCGCCGATAAAAATATTGCGCTCGATACGTGGACGCGCCTATGTTTTTTTTTCAGGTACTCGATACAACACTGCACCGTAGTATGGATATAGGTAATATACAAATAAAAAAGTCACACAACTGCCAAGTCTGATCGCGTGCACGTTGTGCCGATATCTCATCACGCCAAGTGTTTTACCGAATAAAATCAACAAATCCCAACACGTACATAAGGATTGAGTGTAGGACAGCAACCCACAGGAAATGTGAAGACTGAAACAATTGTCAGACATTAAAATTATACAAAAATTGGGTGATTCTGAAAGTAAAACTTAGTTGGCACCGTTTTTGTAGCATTTATTTCGGATTGTGTTTGCCAGACTTTTAAAAATATTACTGAATATGTTAGAGGAACGCGAATCAATTTATTAAACATCAAATATTTCATTTTTGCAACAAAATTTTGGGATTCACCCAATCGCAAATATCATAAGTTTGGATTAAAACCGTTATACTGAAAAGTAAGTATGCTATTATATTATTATAGTGTAAATTATTTTATTTATTGAATATATTGGGTACAGTGGATGATTTATGAACACCTAATCAATGTTTCCAAATTGATTTAAGCCATCAAAGCCTAAGTCTATGTAAAACCAAATCTTAGTTAATATAACTTAAAATTGTAGTCAAGACTTGGCAGTATTTTAGAAATATGTATGATTGTTTAGGCATTTATGTATTGACTGACAGGGTCATTCAGTTAATGACTAAAATAACATATAAACAAAACGAAAAAAGCTAATATTATTATATTAAAAATAGAATATATTTTTCATCGTTCTACTCTCTTCATTCTGTGTGTCCAAATCTTTTCAGTCGCAATTTTTGGCTATTGGTAAACTTTCAAGCTAAAAACAATTATTGTTTGAACATTCCTGATAAAATATTTAATGTAAACACATCTCAAATTTGTCTTATTATTTTACACCTAATTTTCACACTCGATTCCTATTATCTAAAATCATTACTTCCATCCAAGCAGGTATTTTTTAATTGTCTCGTTCAAAATAATATACCCATTAAATTGTATTTTATCTAAAATGGTACCAAATTATTATTTTTGCTTCGGCCCACCATAAAGGAAATGGCTCTCATTTTGTCTTATTAAGCCGAACACTATTTAGCTTTTACGTTATCTTTATCATAAATTCATTTATAACAAGCGTAATACGTTATTTGTCACCTCCAACTATACTTATCAGTTAGGCCATTGTCGAATTTAAACTTTAAATATTTATAATGATCTATCCGAAATTATGATAATTGTAAACGTTTAAAAGTGTTAAGTAAAATTATAATATAGCATGGTTGTAATTTATAATATTCATATTGTATCACATTTACCATTTTCTCCTAAACAACGTAAAACTGAACAGATATTTAAGATTCAAACATTCAAAACGTATTGAAATATAATTGAAAATGTAATATTATATTAAAAACGTTTATCAAATTTATCAACGCTGATCCCAATAAGGTTCAGCCTTCAAGGTGGATACAGCGATCACGCATCATTTATTTTTTAGCTGACACAATTAGGCCGTCAAGCACATTGATTTTTTACGAATAGACTATAAGTTAAATAGGTCACTTTAACTTATACTATAAGCGACAAAAATCTATCGGCGTTCGGCATCAACACGTATTTTAAGATTAACAAATTTTACCATCGACATACTACTACTATCGTTTAACTTTTGCTAACTGGTAAGTCTAATGTCTAGGTCAAGGGCGTGCCCAGGATTTCTTTTTAGGGGTGGTTTAGTGTAACCTTAAAGTTTTAAAGTTAAACATCAAAACTTAGAATAACATCATTCAAATAAATGTAAGTATATACTATATTAATTTTAAAAACAAAACAGATTTTGTAATAACATAAGTTGGAAAAAAAATAAGCCAGTCAATTTGGGGGTAGTTTGAACCCCTAAAACCACCTCCTTGGCACGCCTCTGGTCTAAGAAGTATGGCCTATTTAAAAAAAAAAATTCCAACCACTTAGTTTTAAACAATTTCCTTTGCTGTTTTAATACAAGGATAAATGTGTAATTGTCTATAATAAACTGGCTTACCCTGTGAACGTGTTAAGAAAATATTTTGGTTAATTTTTATCTCACTTAATTTTTTTATCGCTAAGTTAAACAATTAAACACATTTAAAAATAATCATTACATTATCCATAATACATACATTAAAAATACATTTCAATATCACTGAAACAATTGTTATAAAAATGAGTTAATTTCTAATGATTTAATTGAAAACTGAAGCGTTGAGAATAAAAATAACATTTTTTACAACAACAAAAATGGTACAATGTAACCAAAAATGAAACATTGGCTTATATTAGGTTTTGTTGATTAGCACGAAATACCATAACCTATTCAACAATAAACAATAATTGACGTTAGTAGATTTTTAAATTTGTGTTCCAAAATAAATTACTTTAAACAAGTTCATAATTATAATCAATCGACATTGTCTAAGTATAACAAATACAAACAATTTAACATTTTGTTGGAAAAAACTAATTTGCAAGTCAAATTGCATAAATTATCAATTTTATATTTATATATCATACCAGCATGGATGGCCACTCTAATCATTGCCCTTCATACTTCACAGCCACCTGATGCGGTCTCATATGTACACTTTATACACCTCCAAATCACTGCATTAATACATTATATAAATAACATTTATTTATTTTCAAGGCTAGATTAAATTTCCTTCTATTGATTTTTTTAGATCTTTATACTTTTGTACACAAACTCTCAACTAATTGTTCATCAGATACTTTTTTTTTAAATTATTTTTCTCGTTTATCAGGAAAAAAACTAATCACCGAAAATTTGATTGAACTAATATATTTTTCTGTAAACTATATTGATTACAACTGGAATACATAATCATAATACACGCGTACTGTACATACAAGATATTATACAATTATGAATAAGGTAAACTACAATGCTATTACCGCGGTAATAATGAGCACTAGCTACCGTAAATAACTTATATGTAGAAGCAAATGAAAGAATAAATAAAATACTCGACTAAGACCTCGAACGTGAACTTGACTAATCTGTTAATTACCGTAGTATTATCCATATAAGCGCATAACATTCACAGACTACCGGCAGCATATATATATTTATAATATAACACATTGTTAGTTGTGTATTTTTAGGTAAACACTAGATCTAGAGTCTAATTTTCAGTCCAGAAATTGCCCTAAATAGAACAATTTTATAATAAAATTTACAATTTATAATTAACTATTTCCTTTTTATCTTTAGACTTGAATCATATAATAATTCTACTATCTACCAATGTATTCTATGCTCAGGTTGTTATCTAGTGTAAAGTACAAGACCGCATTATTAGTTATTGATCATCATTGCCATTAAATAATATTTCCATCAGGCTTCAACCTGAAAGGTTGAAACTGAATATTTTGAAAACAACTTTTTTACCTATACTTTAAGTACATATTTTACCATGTTTTTCGATACCTAGAAGATTTTTACCTTCAACGATTATACGTAAAAGAAGTATGAACGTTTTTTTAAAATAATATGTTTTTAATTCCATTAATACGTAGACAAAAGATTTTAAAAATTGTTAAGTTTTGAATTTTCATCAATCTTTTTGTTTGCTATACATACTACCCTCATTCGGCATTCCGAGATTTGATAAAGCAAAAAAAAGTAAATATCTACTAAAATAAACATGTGCTGGAAACGGCCAATTTAAAATTGCAAAAAAAAAATCTTTATAAATTATTTGTTTTAAGTTTATATCACGACGTTGCGGTGGTTCAGTCCAAAATAAAAATTACATGAAATAAGGTATCAACATTTTAAATTGGTAAACGCTTTTTTTGAGTTTTTTAACATGTAAGAATATTATTAATCTAAAAGTTAGGTAAGTATTACTATCAAAATAATTATGACTACGATGATTTTATAAATTCTATGATCTAGAAATATTGGCATTGCTAAACAATTGTGGTTTATCGAGTACAGAATTCGAACGATTGGCCTCATTAAAATTGTTCCATTAAATTATATTTTTATTGATTTTTTTAACGATTTCCTGAACGGTATTTTTAACTACCATTGGGAATCACGTGATTGTATCAGCCACATTCCATAATAATATGAAGCTGGAAACAAGAGGATGATGTAAATTTAATGTTTTCATTCATACTCGTAGGTATTGTAGTATGAATAACATTTAATTTTGACCTTATTATGGGCATTACACTAAACTAGACGTTGATAAAACATATTATATTATACAATACATGTTTACTAACCACACGGCTATGTCCACGACACAATACGGGACAAATTCGACTTTATGAAGAATAAAAAGATTCGCGTTATCTAATCCCAAGTGTTAGGGTACTCGATAGGTCAGTATTACGCGTGTGCACTCTATTAGCGAGCTATATTGAACATAGAATGTACTATTGTGAATTAATTATCAAAAACGTTTTGATAATGAAATAAAACAACACGACAAAACAAACAAGAAAATAAATGTTTAGAAGTTTTGACCTTGTTAACGATTAAATATTTAAGAAATTGTTATTTTTACCGTTAACAAAAAAATACATATTATAATTTTTTTTTAATTTCTCTGCTATTTAATAGATTATAAGTGTAAATCTACAATTTATATATTTTACAGATTATTTTAACACCGACTATTCTTCCTCTAATTAATGAATTACACATTTTTTTTTCACATTAAGCAACATGAATATGGTCCATCATTATACATGTACTTGTATACAGAAATTACTGAGTACTATAGGCACTGTGACCTCTTTAAACTAAAGCCGCAACACAACCATACATTGGTATACACATTAGGTATATTTTATAAAATGTACTTAGGGTGCAAAACCACAAAACAGATTAGTAAAACGGCCAATATTATGTAAGCTTTGGCGAATAAGCGTTTACATCTTTAATGTTACGTCGCACAGTTTACTGTGTGTAAAGTAGAATCCAAAGGTCTCTGGGCTAGGCCGATAATTTAATCCATAGGTAGCATTGTCAGAAGCGGATATAAAAATTAATAATGAAGTTATTAAACGCATTTAAGCTTTAATGCACATCTATAATGCTTAATAAACAATTAAATGATCGAAACAATAAAGAAAGTGATTAGTTAACTATGAAACAGTGTAGTGCTACAAAAAATCTGCATATAAAATGGTTCATTAAATGTCAGTAAATCACTTTGTATTTAATAGTGATGAATCATTCCATCTGAAATAATTGGTATTTGATGGCAGTAATAATAATAACATACATTTTTACCTGCCTCGTTTGGATGTGTAGTTTGTTGTGTAAAATGTAGTTTTTATGAATTGATCTATACCTATTCAGTCAAGATTTTATCATTTATTTGTTCATTTTTGTAGTTTAAAGTATTATTTTAATATTTAAAAAAAAAATGTTTAAATGGTGTACACACGATATTTGTATGATAACGCTGGCCAATTAATCTAACTCAAACGCGTCGTGACCGGTATACAATAATAATTAAAAGTTGTTCGACCTCTGTCGGAAATGCAAATGCACGTGTTAAATGACCGTGTACATAAACAGTCTTGGACAACCTGTCCTGTTCATCTTCGCCCTCAGCTGGCAACATTGCTATAAATTAATAAATATATTATCTACCATTATAATATCTTCTAAGTGTAACGCCGAAATTATAAAGAACCCTGCCCATGTGTAAGCGAACCACGATAATCGCAAGAAAGGTACAAGTTCACTATTCTACTGAATGGTTTAAAAGATTAGGTACTCTACTGCATCCTGATAAACAAATTACACATAATTCTGTTGTATGTAATAAAGGTAAGATAAAATATCAGTAAACACTGTTTTTTTTTTTAATAAACGTAAAAAACACTGATCACCACTGAACATGAGTCTCTCTAATTAATAACAGTTTTCAAATTTTAACAGTAATATGCCAGTAAATATAATAGTGTATACTTTTATATTGAACTATTATAGTATGTATACTATTAAACTGTAGACGAAAATGTTGTCAAATATTTTATGTTCTAACAATAGCTTTGATACCTAGATAAATTTTCAAAAATATATACCGGATGATCAATTTAACGCAAGACACTCGTTTTTTCGGAAAATAATTGCAACTTTTTAGTTTTTACTTTTGAAAAACCTTAAAAGGTAAAAACCTTTTTATATATTTACATTTTATAAAAACAGATATTGAGTGGCCCATGATAAAAGAGTCACCCTGTATGCACGCTATCACTTGAGTTTTAAAAATTGATGGACCTGTAGAATTTATTAAAAAAGATATCAATTTAAATTTTCTCTAATAGTATCAAATTGCATAAACTAAAATATTATATTCTAAAAGAAAAACTACAAAATTATAATTATTTTCAAAAAAAATGAGTGCCTGCGTTAAATGGATTATCCTATAGATAATAATACATTTATATTTTCTTTAAAAACGAATCAATGCGTGCAAAACCATTCTAAAATACAAATTTGCACTGTACAATAATATTTTCTTATCGTACAAATATAAATTAGAAATTATCAACAAATAAATTAAAAAGCATTCTTCTTTCCTTCCACCAATTCTAGCATTAATCGTAAGTTATATTAACAGTCGTATTATAGATTTAAAAAATATTTTTTGTTCTGTAGAATGTGTAAAACAATGTGGACGGTGATAGCATAAGAATGACTGTTTAAATTATGTAATTAAGTAATGAATTAAATGATATATCTAATAATTAGGTTTTAATGATTAATATAATCTGTATAATGTTTTTATAGAAGTACACTCAATTAAATGTGAAAAAAATTTTTCTTTTCCAAAGACAATATCTTTTTTTATATAGAAAACGGCGTCGGAAATAAAAATAAGATCCAAATTTACACAAAAAACAAAATTATTTATATATATGTATTGAAGTCTTTGTGCGGATATAAAACTATATTAATAACATAATATTTTATCCAACTATTAAGGTAAAATTTTGAATTATTGTTAAATAAATGGCCCTTTATATAATGAGTCTAGAAAATTACTAGTAATAATTACAACCTTTATTTTATAATTAATCTTAAATAAAACATTTCCTTTTGTTGTAAAATTTACATAATTCACAAGTATGAATTGTTAACGAATAATTATTGTATGCTTTACTAAAAGAGCTATTCTTATAAATCAACTATCTTATATGGTTTGGTATTTTATTTTATATTATATGTACGATTCTACGATTCTTAGCACGCCTAGTTATCTAAGCAATAAAACACTACACTCGTCAAATAATTATTAACAATTTATACACATTAAATATTACTTCTACATTATATGGAAGATCAAGGTTTAATCTATAATAATAATCTATAAAATTTAAATTACCTATATCGGTTAGACAGGGTCATTTAATTTTGATTCTGACCACATTATTAATGGCGAACTATTTTTTTTTATTTGCCTTATTCATTAGTCCGCATTATGTACCTACCTAATATTATAACCGAACCAATTAATTTCACGTTCATAAGTAATGAACTTGCAAATTCATTTCTCTCTAATGAAGAACTTAGCATAGCTTTTACACTGCACAATTAATTTAATTTTAAATTTTAAAATAAAATAAAATTGTCGATTACATTAAAGAATTCGTTTTTTCCAGGAAAATATTATGTGAAGAAAATTAGCAATACACTCAAAAATTGTATGGCGTTTGCTATAGGTATTTGTATTTAATAAAAGGCAATTTTTATTTTGGACCATTGTAAATGCCAGTTAATACAATGTATAAAACAAGTATAATTTAATTTTTATATTAAGATTATTGTATTTTATATAAACTATGACGTGGCTTTTGAAAATTAGAGAAGGTAACGGAGCAGCGTATTTTGTAATAAATTTGGACAGTGGTCGATGGAATTTTAAGGGGTGAAATCTTCTACAATATTCAACCGATAAATAATAATGAATATCGGGTACAGTAATTGTAAAAACGATACAATGCTTAGGACTTTTTTGACTTTTAAATGCTTCATACAAATATTGGATAATTTTCCAAAAAACTTCTCCTATGTATATAAACGAGTATTTTAAAATTAAATGTGTATCTATACATGATACAAGGTGGTAAGTACCTGTGCGCATTTTCCCTTGCTTGGTTGCTGTGCTCGTGCATGTCGAAAAAACACATGAGCTCACAGTCGGACAGTTCGCACCTAGACATCTTAGGCGTGCGGTAAGCCGAACGGGATCTCTCCTCCCTGGACGACTTCCTCATCGACATGGTTCCGGGGGGGTCGGACGAGTATTTCGGTAATCAATTAAATAATAATATTAATAACAATATATTACACTATTGTGAGCGCGTAGAAGACGGCAAATTATTGAATATTTTTTTATTATTATTATTATTATATGTTCGAAGGTTTCGCGAATTCAAACTCTAGTAGGTATTAACTATTTTCTGTGCACGAGTAGGTATGTTAACGAGGAACATTGGTAGAGCGTCGGCCGTGGCGAACGGTCCGCAAGTGACAACCAGTTTCGTCCACGACGTTTTGTATGCGTTTACGATTTCTTGACATTGTAATGCAATCACACACACACACACACACACACATACACACACGCGCGAGCGCGTGCGATTAATGTTTATAACAGTAACGAGCGCATACCGCCAAAAAATAAAAATCAATTATCAATAATATATTATTATTAAACAAACAAACAAACGGGCGCAACGACATACGTGTTCGTCCAGGCCGACACCGCACACAACACCAATGCGATTCAACGCGCTACCGAATTGTGGCTTCTGTTTAAACGGCAACTGTGAACTTTGAGCCTTGTGTGTATGTGTGTTAGTCCGTCGGACAAATCAAAAAAAAAAAAAAAACGATTGATAACGACTGAGCGTAGTACCAACGAAATCTCCCTATTTTTTTTTCAATTATACATAGGTAATACCTCTACAAATACAATATTATAATTTACATTTGTGTTATAATTACGCCGTGATAACGCGCAAGAGGCGAGAACGAAGTTCCAGAATTGATCCAAAAACGGTAGACAAACGGCCTAGGGCCGACAAAATTGAGTACCAACCCGTCGTGACGTTCAAGAACATATTTCCCTTTAGGCAAGGTAGGCACGTGCCCGTGGTCCCAAAAATTAAAGGTGCCTCACTTCAATTACACACTATTTGAATTGGGCTCATATCGAAAATTTAAAAATTTTCAGAAAATGCAAAAAACTGATTTTCTTTTTAATTATGTTAAATAGGATGTTTTCTTCATCACAATAGAAAACAGAATTGGGCCCTTTTCGCTCATAAAATATCGGTCTATATGTATAAATGAAAAAACGCGGAAAATTCAATTTTGATCAGAGCTCGAGATGGGCCCTTTTCGGAATTTACAATACATTTGTATCAAACAGGGACCACAAAAAAATGTATTCACATAACAAACTATAGGGAACATATTTATAAAATAAAATAAAAATATGTGTAATGCTCAGTGGTTTTCTGGTTATGTATAAGCGCACTAACGAACAGCCAGCGAGACATTGCATTTTATAAATATGTAGGAAATAGGGATGCAGGTATAAGTAACCTGGTAAAATATGTAAATGAATGTAACACATTTAAGTAGCAGTTTTCCTTATTATCTACCTAATAATACAATACAAATTTATTTGTATAACTTTGAAATTAGAATAAATTAAATTTGTGACTTTTTGATAGCTAAAATATTGCATTACCTAAAATGCTAATTTAAACCCAAGGCAAACCGTCAAATGTACATTTTCATATATTTCATTCATAACAATACCATTGTTATGACTATCAATATATTATTTATAATTTATTTAATAAACAGGCAAAGGCATAAGGTACACTTTACTATAAATACGCAGACGTAAGCAATAATAAAATAAAACTACCAACACATAAACTAATTGGGAACACACAAATTAAAAAAAATATCGAAACAATAAATGTTAAAACTTAGAAGATTATCCCGATTATCACTATTTATGTAAAGAATGTCATTATTGTTGATGTTATTACATGAGGCCAATGCCCTGTTTATTGGAGTGGGGATAATCATGAATGTCCTACATAGAACGGGTAAAACAATTTCGGGTGGAGGTATTTATTTAATTTATGGGTAGGGCCCCCCAAAATACTTTCCCTTATGGTTCAAAACGTCTAAATCAGAACCCGGCGACGTTTTGTCCTTTTTCCATACAACAATTCAATTTTTTCGCAGACGATTAGCGTGTACAATAACTATTATTGTCTCACGATTAAAATTAATAAACACCAATTTGTCACGAACGACCGACTGTTGAATAATTCATTCGCCCGATCTCATGCCCGTATTTGTTTCGAAGACACGACCGGAGCACTGGGCTTCTCACTGGACTTTAATTATATATACTACGTGTTATATAATTGTCTCTATTAATTATTAACCGTTTAAACGCCGTTCGGCGTGACAAAAAAAAATCGATTTCGACCGTATAAAAATTCTAGACGTTGACACTCAGGATTTCTCGCCGAGTATATTTTTTAACCCTGTCCATACACATACATAAATTATATAGACGTCCCAATCGAATAGATTTCTTTAGTGCATAAAAAAGATTCCACGCATTACCAATATGGGTGTAACACCCGGTTAAAACGACAAAAAATAGGAACTCTGAGCGTACCGCCCGATGTCTGTCGACGGGCCCTAATACTGGCCTACATCATCTATTAAAATCTATTATGATCCGGTAGAATCTATTCACTTAAGAGAGGGTTAAGTTTCCCAAATCAGAAGGCTGCTACTCGACTTTTTACCGTTAAAACTGAGGAAAGGAATAGAACGATAATTAGCGATTGGTAGGAAGTGGGAGTTCTTCATCCAAAGGTGGACTAACCGGACGGATCTTACCAAAACTCGTTAGATGAACGAAGAGACAGAACCTCGTGGTTACGTTCCATCTAACACAAGTGTTGACAGGTCATGGGTGCATGTGCATCCATTAGTTCAGTATATATAAAAAAACAAATTATAGACCACAACCCAGGAACATACTTATCTACATTTTCAAATACTCTAGGACAATATAATTCCACCAAAATTGTTAACCCTTTCGGTACTGACATCCTCGTACAAGGATTCAACTTTAAAAATCCAATAAAATATTAACAACGTACTATCATTAACAAAAATATCTTTAAGCACAAGTTCTAGTATAGATTGATGATAAAAAAAATTGACACAGCTGTATTGATAATCAATATCAGTCCAATACGTAAAAAAATTGACTTTTTTTTCGAATCTAAATTTCATTAGATTTTCAATCTAAAATGTTTTACTAAGTTTTAAAAATCGATTCAATTCAATTTTTTATACTACATATACAGAAACGTACTAAACAATTAATGTACACTAAAGTAACTTTTAAGTTAACGAAACGAAAATATACACCACATCGAATACAATCATTTTAAAACCTGCTTAGAATGACCGAATGCATAAATAGTTCTTAGTTAGGTACATGAAGTAATATTAGGGTCTAAGTATTTTACAAAAGTCATTAAATTCAAAATAGTAACCCGTAATTATTGACTTACCTAATTAATTTTTGACAAATGGTTTAATTTACCGACCTTTGTTTCCAATTCAAAAAGGTATTATTTTATAAAAAATAAAATAAAATAAAACTGTACAGCAAAGTTTGCTATTTTTATAACAAGAACCAAATTTCAACTATTTAAGGAATGCAGATGTGATTTAGTGAATCCAAAACTGGCTCAAAATAAAAAAAATTTCTTAAAAAGTAACACTATAACATATTCAGTATCTTATACCTCCCATTACTGTTGAAATCAGAAGTCACGTACTATTTTTATTTTACGATCTCACTGAACATAATTATTTGAAAAGCAATTCAGAATTTAGAAGAGAAATTTGTTTTTTAAATTTTTGTTTAAAACAAACCAATTAAAAAAACGATTTATAAAATATACACTGTTATTAATTAGTTGACTTTAAAAGCAAGTTACTAACGTGTTATATAAAGTTTGGAACTAGATGGGATTCAACAGGAAAACGTATACATTTATTGTTTTTGTATTCTTGTTGCAAAATTCATAATAATTTTTAGCTGTACTACAATCCACCTTACACCCGTTGTAACGACAACAGATATTAATTTATATTAACTATTAACGAATGGACATTGTTTCATCCATTATATAATATGTTCCGTAAAAACCGCATAACGAGATTAGTCATACAAGTTTGACATTGGATAAAAATGTGGTTCATTTAAGAAACGCCTTTTTGCGGAAATACAAACTTATGTTAACAAAATATTCCTTACCGAAAACAAAATTATTATTAAATCGTATATTATGGTATCGTTTAGTATAGTACCACAGACTAAAATATTATTAAAATAATATTTAATCTATGCTAGTAGGTACAGACATAATTTAGTTGATACAACTTTATAATTTATAACTTGAGTAATGTAATAATTTCCTTTTTCTAAAATGTATATTTCTTAAATAAATAACTTGCCGTTTAACAACTTAGTAAATAAAAATAAGTAATTTGTCATGGAATTATATTGATTTGTAAATAATAATTATTAGATAGGTACTTTGTTTACAAGACACATCGGTGGCTAGGTGTAAACCCGACCTTAAAGTGGAACAAGTTATCTGATTTAAAGTGAAAGTTACAATATTAAAATGTTTAGGTACAATCGTTAAAAAATACTTTGAAATCGGTAATAATGGGAGTCGTTTGCATTCATTAATTGATAATGGAATCCAATACATTAGTAACCAATTTTGGTTTATAAATCTCTATTGTATAATATTTATTTTACGGTTTAAACCATTACGATGAAGCCTACGAGTGAAAATTAAAACTAAAATATGCATTAGTCTGTGTACTCTGTGACCATATAATGCGTACAGAAGATTACAATTTACAGGTTATATCGAATTTATTTCGATAAAATTATTACAAAATATGCATGCGGTATTTACAACGATAATTAATATTATTTGCCTATACCTATGTACCTAAATTAAAAAAAAAACTAACGGTAATTTTAATTTTTTAAATAACTACTCATCGTATTCGTTTCGATTAGCCATTGATCGACACGAGCATGCGTTTCAAATGCACTTGGGACTCTTCTAATAGTTTTGAAATTATCCAACATAATATCGCCAGTTAGTTTTTGAGATAAGGTCAAGCAATGGATTGTCACATCTATCAATAATACATTGTGTTAATTAAACAAACATTTTGTTTCCTTGTTTATTAAACTATAACAATAATACACCTTACCTAAGTTTATTATCAGTCGGTAGATTAATGTATGTGTTACTTCTATATCAATGTGTAATTTCTTAATGGAGCGAATACCTACGTTAATTAGCGGCTGGTGTATACTTAAATTCTGATAAATAGAGAGATCAAAAGGAAACACCGCAGTAAAATCAACAAGTGAATAATAATTAGCAAATGCCCACAGACCGATAAAAATAAATATTCTAAATCGTTTCAGACATCGGTCATCGACCGACCGACGATTGTCAAATTATAAAAAATGATTAGCGTTTCTAACAGCTCCCCCTCTTCTTAACTCCTCTGCAAGTTACAAAAAATTAAATTCAAAATCCATTTTAAAATCATAGACCCCCCCTTGAATTTTCATTTGTGAGGTTGTTGTAAAGCATTGTTACCTTATAAGTA